ATAAATAAAATATCAACAAAGGATTGGCTAGTCTAAACACTAAAGAAGAGATAGAAGGAACAGCCACTTCCAGTAGGGCTGAGATGACTCATCCAAGGAAGAGCCTCCAGCAGTAAGGAGAGCCAGACCTCGTTGGAAAGCACACTGCTATCGCTCACGGAATGGCGGAGAAGAAAGGAGCTTTGGTGCCATGGTAACATAATTTGTTGGAAGTGTATTCTTTGAAATTTGGTAAAATCCAGCCTCTTGGGTACCATGGAAAAGCTGCTCACGGGGTAGTATCTATCTAGAGGCACTGTACTACCGCTGCTGCCTGCCATGCGCTGCAGGAGCTGAAACCGGAAGTCATGCTTGCTGCAGGCATATCCTGAGCAAGCACACAGGAACCAAAAAGCAAAACCTTTTCCTCTAGCAATGACTCTCCAGCGCCCTCTACTGAAAAACCTTAACATCATGCCCTTGGCAAAAGAAAGTATCTAAAGGCCCAGATGCATTTTCACAGATGAATCAAAAAGGGAAAATTTAGAACTAAAAGTTAATAAAATCAATGACTGGCATAAGAGTGATTCTGCAAAATCTTTAAGGGCTGATTATACTGATAATTTTAGGCTTCCAGTGTCCAAATAACACTTTACTGTGGACCTTTCTGGGTCTTCAAGCTGCTACTTGCCTGCTATATAGAGCAATAATTCTGAACATGTGGTTCCTGGGTCATCAGTATTAGCATCACCTACAGAAGCGTTAGAAATGCAAATTTTAGGGCCCTATCCAAAGCCTAATGCATTAGAAACCCTGGGGCTGGAAACCAGCAATCTAAGTTTTAACAAGCTCTCCAAGTGATTCTGATAAACGTTAAGGTTTGAGAACCACTGCTACCAGCAGGGAGTCCCAGGAATTTGCTTGTGCGGGTTTGAAGGGAAGAGTCAATAGGGGTTTCTTCATATGAGTTTTAGTCTCTATTTTTAATCTTAAAGAAGATTACCTAACTTCTCTAGGATCTGGAAGTGGAGCATATTATTATGTTTCTACTTTTACATTTGATGACATTTCTGGATTCATGAGAAAAAATGCATCAGATATTCTCACTTTGGTAAAAAATTTTGCTTTTGATGTTCTCTTATCCAT